AACAAACAAACAAGCAAACAAACAAGCAAACAAACAAACAAGCAAACAAACAAGCAAACAAACAAGCAAACAAACAAACAAACAAGCAAACAAACAAGCAAACAAACAAGCAAACAAACAAGCAAGCAAACAAACAAGCAAACAAACAAGCAAGCAAACAAGCAAACAAACAAGCAAGCAAACAAACAAGCAAACAAACAAGCAAACAAAACAAACAAGCAAACAAACAAGCAAACAAACAAGCAAACAAACAAACAAAACAAACAAGCAAACAAACAAATAAAAGAAATGAAGTATTTATGGGTAAGATACGTTCCTCTAATTGTGTTGAGAATAAACGGTTAGACAACGAATATAATCATAGATGCATATTCGTAGGATACTTATGAGGTGCGGATGTCCGTAAATATAGAGACCATTCGGAACTGAAACACATTGTAGTTTATAGACAGAGGATAGACGATCAATAAGTAAATGAGCTATTGCTTCTTCCTCACAGCACAGCTCCATGTGAAAGTCTTTTCAGCAAACTCCTTAAAGTTGGCACATCATAATATCTCCTAATATCTCCTACACAAATCAGAAAAAAATTGACTTATTGCAACATTTGAACAAAACAACGAGTATACCAATGCTAAATCTTGACAGTTGAATATTGTTCAACCAAATTTGTCAGAGACAAGTCCTTTCAACTAAAATTGTAAATTTTTCATACCCGCATATAAATTTTTCCATAAAATTTACAAAGACATGTGAAATATATTTTAGGTACATAAAACAATGGTTTACTTACAGTAATACATTTTATATTCTTCATTACGTAATAATACAAATTATATTATATTTTAATATTATTTAAATCTCTGGTGCTCACAAACATAAATATCTCTCCAGAAACATATCTTAACAACAAGAAATCGTTCGAGAAATTTTTTGAAACTTTGATCGTTTTTAATGAAAATGATGCTTATGTGTACGCATGCGAGATAGTAAAATGGTAGTTTTTCGTATTTTCGAGAGCATTTATAAGAGGACCCTACATGTATTGAATTGTTTTAAATTCACGTATACGTAGCGTATTTCATTCGGTGCGCATCTTGCAGTATGAATTCAAAAAGAAAAATAACGACTAAATGTTAGGGGTACTTTTTATTCTTTCTTTTGAATCAATACTCCTCGTTCGGCTTTCGTGCGTAAATGAAGCTTCACTACGCGCGCGTGTTTGAGCTCTCTCTTTGGTAGAGGTGGGGGTTTATTCTGTTGTCAGAAAGACTTACAAATCATACTGCAGTTCATTTTACGATACAAGTACGTCTTCTGTTACTCGAGAATGAGCAATCTTTGTTTTCAATCGTTGCCAACCACTATTCTCGGTGCCTTTAGTGATATAGGAGAGGCTTACAGATACTGGTGCTCACAAAAACTTGCGCAGATTATAGTCCTTCCGTATAGTTTACATACAGCTTTTACGTTTTTGGCAAACAAATAAATACACCGGAATAACTAATAAAAAATTATATCATACAATTTTCTAATTAGTTTCGTCCTCGCTGCGCGTGCTTGGGGCCACTGTGTCCCTCGCCGCGTTGTGCAGGCCAAGCACTGTAATTCCTTGCGGAAAAGGAACAGCGCGCGTGCGGGGCGGCCTTCGGCGAGGAATGCCGCCCGGCCGCCCTAATGAACGTGCGCGAAGCGCCTTGCGCAAGAGGGGGCGTTGCCGAACACGCGGCGATGTGCGTTTCAGGTTATTGGTGTTTCCCCCAGGTAAATACTAGCCCTCCGCGCTCTAATGGGACAGGCGGAACTGCAATCAGCGTGCCGTTTTCCTTTTGTTGTGATTGTTAATGAAGGAATTAATTCTGTAACCTCCTTTTTATATTTATTTTTACTTATTATATTAATTACAAATAACAAGAAATAATGTATGTTATAAATGTTTGTAAAAATAATGCAATTACATTGCAAGATTCATTTGTGGTAATTGGTTTTTTCTTGAATTTTCTCGCAAGTCGATTGAGGTGACGTTTCGCCCATCGTGTCATGGCCTTCTTCAGAGATATCCAGCCGTATATCTCAGAAGAAGACCACAATACGGTGGCCGAAACGTCATCTCAATCGACTAAAACGCGGCTCAACCCTGACAGCTAAGTATCCAATGAATTCGATCACGGAAGCCTATGAATACATAATATACCAAAAATTGAAAATTACACTCTGACATCTGGGATTTAATAACTGATTTAAGACAAATACTTTTGTGTTATATTCATTAAAATTATGATATTAATTTGTTTAGAGAATGTAGTTATAAACCTATTAAACATTTAATAATTAATAAATTAATAGAAAAATGCCATCTGACAAATAACCTTTGTCGTAACTGTGCATATAATAAAAATTTATTCGTTGAAAAATAATTGGCTAATGTGGAAAAATTAATTTTTAAGAGTTTTAAAAGACATCCCTAAGTTGAGTTACAAACAGTTAAAATTCTGTTGAGTTCGTTATATCGCAAACTTTATTGAAGTCAAAATATGTTAAGAATATTATCTATTCATGTCATATCTTAAGGTGTACTTTGCACTTTTAATCTATTATTTGCTCCAAATAATGCTATAAAAAGTTTGTTCTTGAGCATTGTGTCTGACAAACACTTCTCTACGAGTAATAGTCTCTGCCTTGCCTTCGCCTTGCCTTTGCGTGGGCGGAAAATCCTTATTCGTGAACATAAACAAATGAGTCGGGCATCTCATAACGGAGTAACGTCTCAAACTGCCTATTGTCTTTTTAAAATTGCTCATTTCGTATGTGCGCAGAATGGAAGTAACGTTATGTTTTGACACTTCCTCTTCAATTCACCTATTACGTATGATTTATCCCACCATTAAAATCTGTGTACTGTTTTCGTGTCAGTGGGTCATGCAACTGACGAGTAGTATAAATGCATACGTTTGTTGCCCCGTAGAAGACGTCTATTACGTTTTCAAGGAGCAGCTTACATTGTATTTTTATTTGGTATAAAAAGTTGGAATGAATGAATGAATGAAGAACAGTAATTGCATACAAATAGAACAAACCTACATTAATGGATTTGAGAAGTCTGGAACTTTTTATAAAAAATAGTCTATACTTCTTATGGCAATGCACCCAATCAGCATTTTACGGTCTGTGAAAACTATCACCTGAGAGTACATCGTGGCATCGTAACAAAACATATATTACCCAGAAATCATTAAGGGGACATCCTGAAAACAGGCTACTGTCCTCAATGCGCTTAATGACTACATAGTAGTAGATCAGAAGCGTTCTGGCTAATCGAAGAATTTGCCAGAACGTATTCAGTCAGCGCCCGTGCAGATACATGTTAGAGGAATCGTTCTGCAGTTAAATTGTGTGTGTAAATACTGTGTAAAGTCAAATCCCTATTAATAGTGTAGAAAGAAGAAAAAAAGCATTAATGAGTGAGCGAACTCGGGTCGTACACAAAAACATCTAAAAATATTCAAGGTAGTGTTTCAGTATTAACTTTTCAAAGTTGGCCGATTAAAAATGGAGTATCTTTAAACATGTTATTGTATATCAACATTATAAACGGCCTTTTCTGTTGCAAGAAAGTGTTCAGAATTGGGCATATTACGGCACAAATAATGAAGTACGAGTATTAGCATTTTACGCCAGGAATGGTTGCGTCATCACACATATAGCCAATCGCAGCGAGGGAATGGTGGGGAGGTAGAGGTAAACGAAACTGCCAATCACCGTTTTCTCGCACATTATGTCAAATAACCGAGACGTCACAAGAAAGTTGTTTCGCAAAATTAAGTTAAATTCTCTTATAAATTTATAATTCTGTTATAGAAAAAATGGTGTTTGCAACTCATTTACAATGTTGCTGTATTGCATTCTACAAATTTGAAAACTCGTTTCTAACATCACTCGTTTTCAAAACATGTACTATGGAAGGTAGGGGGTATGGAAGGGAAAATGCAATGATGATAATAGGGGTTAAAGGGCGACACACACACACACACACACACACATACAGACATACACAAATACCTCCGAGGCGTAACTCGAACCCGCGATCTTCTGGTCCGCGAGCACTACCTTTGCGACCTCGGCCATCTGATTGGAAAACATAGCTCATACAGACATACACAAATACGCCCATCCCCGAGGCGTGACTCGAACCCGTTATCTTCTGGTCCGCGAGCACTGCCTTAGCGATCTCGGCCATGTGATTGACAAACGTAGGTCCTACAGACATACACACAATATGCCCATGCCTGAGGCGTGACTCGAACCCACGATCTTCTGGATCGAGAGCACTGCCTTAGCGATCTCGGCCTTCTGTTTGGCACACGTAGCTCCTACAGACATACACACAATACGCCCATGCCCGAGGCGTGGTTCGAACCTGCGATCTTCTGGTCCGAGAGCACTACCTTAGCTATCACTGCCACTGATTGGCAAACGTAGCTCATACAGACATACACAAATACACCCATGCTCGAGGCGTGACTCGAACCCGCGATCTTCTGGACCGAGAGCACTGCCTTAGCGATCTCGGCCATGTGATAGACAAACGTAGGTTCTACATACATACACACAATACGCCTATGCCCGAGGCGTGACTCGAACCCGCGATCTTCTGGACCGAGAGCACTGCCTTAGCGATCTCGGCCATCTGATTGACAACCGTAGCTCATACAGACATACACAAATACGCCCATGTCCGAGGCGTGACTCGAACCCGCGATCTTCTGGTCCGAGACCGCTACGGCACCACTGCCATGGCGATCTTGGCCACCTGATCGGCACACGTAGCTCATTATCAATATTATTTTTATAGTTAATCTCAGTCTGCGGTGGGAGTTTCCAGCCGGCGCCGGGCGCGGAGCCGGACGCCGGATGCAAGACGCGTCGCCCGCTGTGTTGCAGGTTCATGTGGTTCATGATCAAGGTGACGTTCGGCGAGCACGACCGCTGCGTGACCGGCGCCAAGCCCGAGTCGCGCTTCGTGCTGCGCGCCATCGTCGGCGACTTCTCCTTCATGAACTTCGACAACGACATCGCGCTGCTGCGCCTCAACGACCGCGTGCCCATCTCCGAGCACGTGCGCCCCGTCTGCCTGCCCAAGGGCACAGGTGAGCGCCGCTTGGCCACGGAGCACCCGCGACGTAGAGAGCGGTTGGTGTCCGCTTTCTAACTACCGAGGTCATTGGTCCCGTAAGTGTAGTGCATGTGAGAGCGTAGGCTTCCGCGACCGGAGTCAGTATTTACTAGGCTGTCCGGGTGACGCCGCGTCGATGGCGAAGGTGCCGACGTTTCGGTCGCCGTTCTGCGACCTTCTTCAGGGCGTAATGCATTACGCGGTCGCAGAATGGCGACCGAAACGTCGGCACCTTCGCCATCGACGCGGCGTCACCCGGACAGCCTAGTAAATGTAGTGTAGTGAATGCTTTTTCTCCGAATGTGCCAGTGATCTTCCCCCGCGAGATCCGGCGCCGACCTACCGCTGGTAAAAGCGGGATTTTCCTAATCAGTGTCTTCCACTCGCGGGGCACCGCGCCCTAGCACGAGACAAGAACTCAGTTCCCAACCGCTCTTCCAACATGTGTCCTAGTGTAGTGCTTATACGTGTAAGTGTGTGTATGTAGGGGGTGAGGATAGGATAAGGAAAAGGAAGAAAAGATCGCGCGTGGTCCGTTTGTTGAAGTTCTGCTCCTGCATTCGCCTGGTGTCGATCGGGGTAATGACGGAAAATTACCGATCTGAAGAGCCGGCCTCTAGGATCCACCTCCAGACACCGACTGAATTCGACCCAGCTATGCAGCTAGTGTCGAAAGTCGTGAGCGCTCCTACGATTTGATGGTTGAATGGCGGGTCGTGTATGGAAAAATTGGGGTTCACAATAGTTTAGCGATATTCTACTAGGAAAAGTGAAATTTAATGAAGAATGTCAGCAAAGGTTTAAGCATTTTAACTTTTTAAAAACATCTTAGCCTAAGTAAAGTTTTGCTAATTCCGCGAAAGTCCTGTCTGCTGTAAAATATATCCAACTCTGTTCTCATATTCTTCTTATTGATGTTGGTTTTAGTTGCCTTCTTTACTTTTGTATTTTACTGATATTGTAAAAAATAATTTATATACAAAAATATTTTCATTTATTTGCCTATAGGAATATTTTGTTCAGAGATACACTAAAAAAGAAAATAGCGAAATGAAAGAAAGATAACAATAATGAAAAATTAAATTGAGAAAACAACAATTAACATATACAAATAAGTCTCCCTTCACGCCCAATTCTGCATTTCCCAATCATGGTTGCCCCCTTATTGGCGCTCCGGAGTAGAGGGAGACGGTGGAGCAGTAAGAAATATGAGAAAGCTAACCCTCACAATTCACAACATTAATAAATGTATTAGGTTAATAAATAGATGTTTTCAATTGAGTTGGTGACCTTCTTTTGTCTTTGAATGCCTCAATTGTGGAAGTCATGCCCGATGAGTTACATAATTCACTAGTTTAAAAATAACATTTTCTTATATTTTTTATTACGACTACTGAGATGATTTATCACATGTTCAATGCGTTTCTAGAAAATAAAAGGATGAACGACAGTGAAGATGGGTAACTGCAAGAAACGTATCAATAAAAATGAGACGTTGGGAACTCATGAGTCGAGTAAACATAAAGAAAAGTGATTTTGAACCTGTATTTCAAATATTAAGAAAATATTTTAAATAATACTATTTTATAAAGAAACATTTTTGTTGAGTCAAATGAACATGAATGGAATAGTTACAGAAGGACATCATAACATTGAGGTGAAGAGAGAGAACAATGTAAACAACTGACAAGCAAGAGTAAGTTAAGTTGCTGGATGTGAATTTTTGGTCAGAAAAGGACGAAATTTAGTAGGGTAGGATGTATTTCCGTGATAGGTATAAATTGTGTAGAACAGAACGTGTTAAGTATACGAAAATGTTAGTTGCGGAATGTTTGAACTCATGTTGATTAGTAAATCAAGTTAAGTAAAATGCGGACAATTTAAAAAGATGTGTTGATAAAAAAAATTGAGTAAAGAATTTCAAGAAATGGTGGAAGGACGACAAGAAATAAGATTATCAACTCACCGCCAAGAGTGCGGAGTGTTTATCTTCACATGTAAAGTGTATAATTTAAATATTTTTACTAAGACTTCCAAATTTCATGAAGTGTTCAAGGCCAAGAATGTCAGTAGAAACGTAAGATGATTGAGCAAGAATGTCAAAATTAAAATATATTTAAAATACTGACTGCCATCTTAGGTACGGCAAACGAATGAAATAAGATTAATTAATAATTCTTGTTAAAGTTTGAATTAGAAAAGAAAGAAATTACAATATTACTTTATTTGTTAAACATATATTATTATTTATTTATTTGGAAATGGTAAGAAAAAAATCTCGAATTTCAAACAGAGAAGTATATATTTTTACGTAAATATTCGTAACGTAAAATCTGTATAGAAGGTCTTGTCAACCCACAACAAATTTTATCAGGATGGATCGACCTCGGTATATTAACAGGGCAATTGTCATGTCAAATATATAAATAAATATATAAATATCAAAGAATTAAGTCTAGCATATTGATGATAAAATAATTCCCGAGCAGTACGAGAAAACTCCCTGAGACTACTACTAATCCCGATCTCATCTTGCCCACCACAAATTCCATATGGAGTAATCGGGGACTAAACTCCGGGCCCAGAAGTGAAAGGAGTGCGGTCTCACTGCAAGGGTAACCTGTTAATTTAAATTTTTAATTCTGTTGCATTGTTATTGGTTTATTGTTTCAATCATTGCCATATCGCCATGGCAAATTCATCTAAACGAGATAAGAGGTCGCATGAAATACTACATTTGTAGCGCTGTTCCCTCATTACGAAGCCCGCCGCGTCGTGAGTGCGTCGTGTAGGTCGCGCATTTCTCAGCGCGTTCCTGCACGCGCCCCACGTCGTAGAGAGAGACACGAGCCTTCGTCTCTCTGCGCCCCACTGCGCACTTTCAGGTTCCCCCTCCCCCGCCCCGCCCTACCCAGACCTCCCCTGCCCTGCCACACCCCCCATGCTCTGCTCTGCCTCTCCCCCCGCCTAGCCCTCGTCCAACCCAGCCCCCGTAAAGCCCAGCCCCGTTAAACCCAGCCCCGGTTAAAGCCCACCCCGTTAAAGCCCAGCCCCGTAAAGCCCAGCCCCGTAAAAGCCCGCCCGTAAAGCCCAGCCCGCGCGTAAAGCACAGCCCCGTAAAGCACAGCCCCGTAAAGCACAGCCCCGTAAAGCACAGCCCCGTAAAGCCCTGAACAGCCTCGCCCAGCCCAGTCCATCGCGGCCAAGCCCAGTCCATCTCCGCCCAGCACAGCTCAGCCCCGCCCTGAACTGCCCCGTCCAGTCCATCGCAGTCCCGCGTCACCCTCCCCGACCATCACTCGCTCACGGACATAGCAACAGGGACATTTGCTCTTAGCCCTCCCCGCTCGGTCCTGCTCTAGCCAAGCAGCCACGTAATGGTTTGCCTCTCCCCAACCCGCCACGCTCTTTATCCCGCGCCGTCATGCCACGACACACCCCGGCCCCCTTAAGGGCCGTCCCACCACGCTTCCACCCACTACACTCCTCCCCACACACTCCACACCCAGCCACCACCCGGCTCGTTCCGCCCTGCCCCGCCACACTTCGTCCCACCACACCCTCTCCCTCCATCCCCACCCATCCCGTAACGTTCCGATATACTTCGATCCACCACGCCTCGCCACACCTCGTCTTGTCACATTTCGACCCACCATCCCGCCACATTGTTACGCTCCGTCCCGCCAAGATGTACTCCGCCACGCCCGACTCGACACGCCCCATCCCGGCCACGCATTGCGCACTGCACTTTTCTTTTGTAAAGGCAATTTAATTTTTGTGTTTTGATAGCACGAGCATTTCCCAGAAACGAGTACTCATTAATAATGCAGCAGATGGCACAATCGAATCCTTTACAGAATAGCGAGTTTGGCGACGGCGATGTCCCGTATTCATTGAGGGAGTGGCTTTGCTGCGGCATGCTACGCCCCTGCCTCTGCCGACTACGACGTTGCCAAAACTCGCGAACTACTAACTAGTTAACATCGTCTAACTGTAAATGCCAAATAATGGAATTCCCCTCATGTGAGCCATCTATCATTTTTATGGTCATGGCACGAACGTGCGCAAACAATAAATGATTTCCTGCTCTTTCATCCCACGCCAATCAATGACCATAGTTCTGAATTTCGTCAGTTTTTATTGATAAGCTTGGAATTAGGCTGTCGCTGTGTTAGGATTTGGAAAACGGTAGTAGTCTGTTCTATATAGAGATTATCAAGACCTTCTTTTCCAGTTTTATTTTACTTTATTGATCATTAACAATTTTTTTATTTCTAGTTTTTTTATCTCCAGTTTTTATCATTTCTTGAGGCCAAGATATATTGAGTAACTCTCATATATTAACAGTAGATGTAGTTGATATATCTTTTAATTAATATTATGTGGTCTGCAATATTGAAAGCACGCAAAGGCTTCCTTTCTGGGATCCGCCAGCGCACGTGACTAATGCGCCGTTTTGCCCGCAGAGGACGCGTACGTGGGGGCCAACGCCACGGCGTCCGGGTGGGGCACGCTCCGCGAGGACGGCAAGCCCTCGTGCACGCTGCAGGCAGTGCAGGTGCCCGTCATGTCCAACGAGGACTGCCGCGCCACCAAGTACAACGAGAAGATGATCTCGGACAACATGCTGTGCGCTGGCTACCCCGAAGGAATGAAGGATTCGTGTCAGGTGGGTGACGATCTCGCAGGAGCGTTTGGTCATTCGTTCTCCCTGGTCTAGCGTTTATGTTCATCCATCTTCATCGTATTTGTAATTTAATAGAAAATATACATACAAAGAGAGAACTTTAGTGGGATAATGCCAAAATAAAATCCAAGAGGATCAGAAAACAGGAGCTATCAGTATTCACCGCCACGATATACGTTGTCATGTAGTAGTACACGTCTGTAATGGCTCATTTATAACAACATTTTAGACTCGCAAAAATATTTGGGATGTACCACAAGCATACGTAAATATTACACGAACAATGGCAGAAAAATGCTGAGCATTTTAACTTCTAAAAATGAATTCTTCAATATGAACTGCAGCATAGGTTGTGAACAGTCGAACAACTATTCCCCGTTTTAATCTCCGTAATGCACGCTATCACACTCGACGAGCATGCGCCTTCGAGGAATATGTGCTTTTGTAATATCCCACTACATTTAAGTTAATCTTAATTTATTAGTTATAAATAAAAATAAATGCATATTACAACATGAATCCTTTAACTGTAATAAAAATTAATATGTATGTTGCAGGGAGACAGCGGTGGACCATTGGCAACCCAGCGAGAAGACAACCGCTTTGAACAGATTGGTAAATATTTTAGAGATAAATCAATCAAATTAACTATTCCATCATTCCCAATCATTTCTTTGATCTTCTCAGAATAATATTATAAATGCTGATAACGGAATATATTATATATATATATATATATGGGACATGTTAATATTTTACATATACATTCCTATTTTTCTAACATTCTCTTTTGTGATACATTTCTTCCTAGTGTCAGGATTACACTACCTCTCTTGATGAATGTTGCAAACGCTGAATTTCTTCATTGATTTTTACGATGTCAAATTTAAAGTACTGATAAATTTGAGTTCCTTATTTGATGTTTTATACATCTGAAGATAGAGGGAAATTACGTATGATGCTGTTAATATAGTATTCGGATTCTTTAACCAGCAGTGAGGCATTATCTACCACAGATGCAGCTCTTGATTTTCAACTTACTATTTTTGAAATTAGCGGTGCTAGAAATTAGATGCACGTTTGCAATAAGAAGCATATTTTCTCGCATTGTTTTATCATTTGTAATTTTTGAAAAATTCATAGAGCTCAACGAAAAAGAGCCATTTTTAAACGTCGTTGCTCTATCTGAGGAAACATTTTAAAGAAAAAATATGAAGGAGTTTTTGAAAAAGTGTTTAATTTGTACTCGAAATTAATGCAATTTATAATATTTTCCCCAAAAACGACTCCAAATAATTTTTTCCCCTTGGGTGCTGCCAAGGATATTTAAAAGAAACAGCGCAAATCTCATTGAACTCTCAGTATTTTAGAAAGCAACAAAAGTTAGAAATAATGTGAGAAAGTATGTGCGGTTTATCACCAGTAGTTTTCAAAATAAATCTGTAACGAAAAATCTTTCAACATTCAGCACCACTTTTTGTACCGTCCTTTGATACACACGAGGAAAAACTTTAAAGAAAAAATAGGGGTCGATGAGGAAATAATTAGCTAAAAATTATCTATATTTCACGCAAAATGTAGCAAAAACTTATCACATTTTCGAAAAAATTATTTATGCTTCTCATTCCCATTACCAAAAATCAAAATGTCCGTTTCAAATTCAGAGAAATTTGAGTTGTCTCAGATCGGTGGAAAAAGTTAAATTTGAAGAAAATAGTCTGAACGGTTTAGGCTCTATTATTGACGGAGCAGACGGACGTTTTTCTGTAAACCAATTTTTAGGTGTCAAGGACATACAAAAAGTAATTCTGACTACTCTTCGTGTTAGAGGAGGTTATTTATTACACATAGCAAAAAGATTTATCCAGCTTTTAGATATCAGGGCCCCACAATAAGAACTATCTCTAATGCAATCGCTCTTGCATGTTTCTACAGGAAGTCGGCGTCGCGCACATGCCCGGCTACCGCTGGCTTTGAAGCTGCGAAAGCGGGCTTAAAAATATTCCTTACCTCGTCGCCCGCTAGGGACGTACAAAGTTCTCGATAAGAGAAAACCACATAAGCTGAATTGAAAACTGTTAGGTTCAACTAAATCGACTGGGAACACAGTGGACTTACTCTTCGATACACGCGTTGTTGGATTCCGAGAATGCAGTGTGCCTAAACGACCTTAACAAATATCAGACTGCATTCGATTCTTTAATGGGTTGTTATAAGTTACAAATATCTGAAATTTTCACTTGATGGCCCCTTTAGATTACCCCTAAATTCACTTTGCATTCCCCTACAAAGCTGTGAACTACTGTTTTAGCTTCAATTAGCTGCAAAGAATTTAGATTGTATAATTACGGCAATTATTGATATGGGAGTTTGATTTTGTCCCATCATTATTAACGGGTTACCACTAGTTATGTTACAATTAACTCAAAAGTTTCAACACAATTTTTAATTTAACTTATTGATTACCCCAGTAGGGGAACCGAACCCAGATATCCGTTCTGAAGTAATTTTTAAACTTTTAACTGTGACCTCATGGTGGAATGTATCAACACCACCTAGATGTATATCTAGATGGTGTTGAATGTACATGGCTAATTTTGTAATAAATGAGAAAGTATCTTTCCCCGTGTGTAATGGTTTTACAACAATGCTAGAACATGTCAGGCTGCCAGCTTAGAGCATAGGAGAATCTCTTGAGGGGATCAGGGGGAATACCTATTTTGTCTTCGTCTAAATATCTTTGAATATACCCTTCTCAATGTTAGTAATTTGCACTTTATTAATGGTACGCAATGAACGTTATTGAAAGTATTATTTAGGGTGTTTGGCAAGTTTCTTTTCATTTGACGCAAAGTTTGTAGATTCAAAATATGCATTTGATACTTGCAGTTTCTTTTGAGGAAATGTAGACTGTCTTGACATTGCGTGCGAGGGGTCGCAGTGCATATTCGCGCATTCATTTGGTGTTGTTACTCGTACCATTTTCTACGTGTGTTTATGCTGCTTGTGAAATAGGAGACAAATGCTGAAAAATATTCTTACTCAACAAAGTACCTGGTACATAATCTTGATTTTCTGAAGATATTTGGGGTTATTTACTTGGGTTAGGAAATATTAGATGTGTGCAAAAGTATTTATTTTTCCGGATTTAGACAATATATTCAGCGATACACTAAAATGTTTGCAGTTCAGCGACGAATTGTTCTAATCTTCTCACAAAAAAAACAACACAAAAAAAACGGAGACACGATTATCTGGCAATATTAAAACTTTTTGTCTGCAAACATAGCATTCTATATTTCCATAACCTCGGCCTTCCATATCGGATGTCCACGAACATGGAGGTAGACTCTAATGCGTTTAAGACTGAGTGCAGCTTCTTTGGTAAGCCAAAGGAGCGTCATTTTTGAGTTTTGTTTCTCCTCCACCACTGTCAGTAAGCCATCTTAGAGTGTAGATGTGATGAGGATAAGCAGTGCTTGTTTGTCTTGATTGTCGTTCATGATTACAGTACACTCTCGCATTAGAACCCTTCTGACCTGTCTGTCTCATCGCTGGCTAGTCTGATATCTTAAGAAATACAAAGTGTATTTGACAGCAGAAATTTATTATCATTTCTCCTTGTTGTTCCTTAAGGAAGCTGTAAAGTTCACTGGCTTGCTTTTTATGGAGATCGAGATATACCTTTAAATGCACGATTTATTGTAATCTTTTGTTCATACCCTCAATTCAATACATTTTGTAGGCTGGTCGGTCGCTGGTGATTTGAAACTTGTATTATAATTTTATACAAAACCATTACGATAATATTATAATTTAATCAGAATTTCAGCATTGGTCTGTTACTAGTACATTTTCTGATTTTTTCTTACATTAAAACAATTACTTCGAAAAAGTCTTCTGGTCCTTCTTCGAACGTAAAGGCTCTTGAATTGAGAAATATTCTCTATAAATGTTCTTATTTATTGACTACGACTGCAAAAATAGTGTTGAGAGCGCGCACCACCTTTCTTTCCTAGGGGACTCGCCTGTTCTTAATCCCGTCTTGCATTAGTTTTGCACTCAATTATGAGAAAGTTGCTGAATTTTAAGGACTGTATGTTGGGTACCCGGGGTACCCAGGCGTGAACACACGAGTCACTCCCTTCCTCGACTGGATTTTGGCTCTTACTTCCTTTCTCTCTATGAAACTTGGAATATATTATGTATTTGACATTTCGCGTTATTGTTCATTTCTGCACTTTCTTTTTATGTATTTTATATTTCTTTAATTTTATCTTTCGTGGTTTCTGCTTGGGATAAATTATTTTACCCGGAATCCGCACAGTCGTTTACGCACAACCTATGATCAGTGGCGGATCCAGAGGGCCATGGGGGCCACGGCCCCCTCCAAAAGGCTTAAGGTTTTCGTTTGTTACCTTCTTTTATTTGGCAAAATTGATTTAAATATTTATGTTAGAATTCTTTAATTATTTAAAATAATATTGTATATTATCATGTATACACTACAAAAAATGAACAATAGAATAACAAAGGTTTATTATTTAACAAGAATGTATGATGGTCTCTGCAAAATGACAGGCTGGATCGGCCCCTGCGTACGGTACACTCTGATCGCCCGTTTTGCTACTCAATAAAATCCCTCCAAAACCTAATAACTGCTAAACCTCTAAGAACACGTACAGAACGTCCGTAGGAGATGGTTTATAAAATGCAATATAGTTTTCCGATTGAATTGAATAGTTTTGGGGCACAAAAGTCATGAACGGCCATGAACGAAGCTGTGAACTTCAAGAGTTTTGAAACTTTGTAATCAAATCTGGATTTGTAGTTGTGGAATTGTATGCCACAAGGACGTCAGTGGTTTTGGAACTAATGCAATATTTGAAGCAAACTATTGGTGCTGACAGAGAAAGATGTGACATGTTGGTACGCAAAAATTTGGATTTAGATAATTATGTAAGAGGACGAATCATATATAATAGCTTCAGAATTTAAAAAATTGTGCTCTCCGCGTTTTTCTAATATAGGATTTTTAGTCCAATTTATTTATTTTCATGTCTATACTCCACGGTAATTTGATGAAAATGAACCCAGAGCACCTGCTTACTTTTCTACTTTGTTGTTATTATCCAAAATATAGTTTGTTTTATAATTATCTAATTTTTTATTACTCAAATTAGTTTTTTTGAGTCATTTTTTATTTGTTTTGTTTTATGGAATTTCAATTTAAAATATTATAATAACTTTCATTTTATCTATCGTCTCTCTTTGATTCTGAATTTGTATGATTGATAGCAACCGCTTCCCTTCAAACGCCCTATTACCTTTAATTTAAGACGACTTACACTTTATTTATTTTTTAACATTCACTGTACTTTATGCTGTTGTTCTTATAGAAAGTTTCTTTGTAAATTCCGAAGGATAAGAAAGTAGTTAGTTCCAATTGTCATTCACTTTACTCTTTCCATTTCTCCTCATTTTAGTGTAAAAATAGTCTGGTAAAAAATTAACAATTAATTAGCACATTTGTAATTTGTAACAGAGTGGATTATTTATGAAGATCTCCGGGGAAGATTTAGTAGTATACTGTCAAATCAGTTATACTTTATGCCCTTGAAATCGACCCAAAACATGAAAACGAGAATGTAAACGCAGTTATAAAGGATGACACCGTTATTATATCTCAGGGCTGAGCAATTTTGTTAACGCAGGATCTCAATGAAACGGCTGTCACTATTATTTTAAAAGACTCTAAATGACAATTTAGATTCTTTTTTGCTCTTCCTTTCTATGGAAACTCACAAAATAATGATATTATTCACAGCTTAAATATGAAAAGACTTCCAAATGGAAGAATTGGGCGTAGTTTTATCTTTGCGTAATGCATTTTCGGCAGTTGTTTTGTCCCACCTGGGCGCGCAGCCGTGTCAGAATTGGACTGAAGATGGCCGCAATACTATATGCAAAATTTAAAGTTTCATGATGAAACGACGGCTGATATTTTCCTATTTAATGGCAATTATACAACCTGTGCTCCACTTCCTACTATGGAAATTCATCATGTGTTAATTAGTTAAAAAAAAGCAGTGAAGCTACTCTCTGGAGTCGGGCAACTCATTCAGAAGTACACAGACTGCTGAGTTACGCACCTCTATAGAGACATAAATTATATGCCATTCAGTTTCAACAAGTACAACCTAAATTCGGAAATGTATAAGTTAATTGATATACAAAATACGTATCTTGTGATTCATATGTTATTTTATAACCCTGAAAGAAATAATGACCAAAACTAATACTAATACCTCCTTCCCTAGATTGGGCATTGGCCAGATTTGTTTTCAAAGTAGATTAACGAATTAATAAGGAATATATTTTAGAAACAAAATGGTTGGAATAAAGATGGAAGAGAAAAAGGATGTTATTCGACCTGAAGAATAGGAAACAATAATTAATGGTTTAAATATATTGGTCAGAATAAATCGAAATATTCTGAAAAACAAACTAAAAAATATCATGTTTCATATCCTCATTTCTACATACAGTCAATTTTTTTTATGTAACTTGACGACATGCTTTAATGGTATTCCCTTTGTTACAGGTGTTGTGTCGTGGGGTAACGGGTGTGCCCGACCAGGGTACCCGGGCGTGTACACACGAGTCACTCGCTACCTCGACTGGATTTTGGCGAACAGCAAGGAAGGCTGCTTCTGCTCAGACTCGTAACCGCAACTTCTGCTTCGGAGCCTGTGAAGAAGATAAAACGCAGGGTTCCCAACTGCGCGAATTTGGAAAGGACACGTTTGACCCATCTGAATCACTATAAATCCCAGGAATTTGCCAACACTATTTATTGTAGTGTCAAATACGTCCGTCATCGATTTATATATTATCATCATCATCAGTGAATCTTTTGTTTACCTGAAGCCTAAAGTGCATTGGGTCTGAGAATATTATTATTATATTCTCCGAGGATATTATTATATTCTCCGAGGATAATATTATATTACGTGAGGATAGGCAGGAATAAAGTTGTTGGTTACTGTTTGAAAAATATACCACGTCAACAGACTAGACAGAAAACCAAAAATCCGGATTTCAATAATTGAATACGTCCTTGCTAGTCGAAAAACAGTTGCGCAGAATCTCATCGAGCTACATGGAATCTGATAAAAATCAGTTTTTTTAATAAATCAGTTTTAATCAGATTTTTCAGGAATTTTCAAAAATACATTTAATTAACATTTAGAGTTGGTCACTCTCTCTTAATTGTCCATGAAAGAAGGGGCAAAACATTCATAATTCAGTTTGTTTCTTCAATCCATTCATCATTATATTTCATTCTAATCTTATATACTAAATTCATCATAGTCATCTTGCTTAATGAAGTAACAGCTAAAGATTTGTGTTACATATATTATATGTTCATTCTTGAATACTTTTAGTTCACTCTCGAATACTGTTATTTATAGACCTTCATTTCAGGGTAATGGGTTCACAATCATCACCTCTGGTATTAAGATATTAATACGATTTGATATTAATGTTTCAGAAAACGTTCCATCAATATTATTTCCAGAGGTCTTGAGAAATGCCCTTTAGATGTTGTTCCTCCTGTTTATAGTGACTCACACTGACCCAAGAAAGACTGAGCTTACAGTTTGCCTTTCTGGAAGAAGAAATCAACTACTACATCTTCAATGAGAACTCGTAATGTAGTAGTTATAACATTTATACTGTGATGAACATTAATTTATTCTACAATGTCTTTGATAAATATGAAATAAATAAATAAAACATTCCAATTTTATCCTGACTTCTTTTCCCCTATGTTCATTTATAATCAAAGAAACTAAGAAACTTAATAGAGGTGGTTTAATGAAAACTATAAGTAAATTAACCTAATAGCAGTGAGATATGTGCTTGTCAGTACCAGTGTCACTCTACTGTACACAAGTTTTTTAGAGTTTCAAATTTCTTGTCTGAAATTATTCAGTTGTAAACAAGGGTTTACATTCAACATTGACTGATTGAATGTGCGCATTTCGTTTTCACTACAATTATAGGAATTATGTATGTTTCCAAAGTAATTCTTAGAATCTGAAAACGCTTGAATATTTTGACAATGACTAATGTACAATTAGAACAAGGAAACACAATTCGTTTTAATTATATGGCCATAAACATACCGTAAAGATTGCCGGATCCTTGCAAAGGATCGACTCGTGGCGCCTTCAGTAGGCAGTGCTCGTACCTCCTCTCTGTTTTGCGGTATGCCACCAGATGTCGTTGCAGGTCAAGATTTAAGTTTTCAATGCACCAACTAGATTGACCCTAATACACTTTCGGAAAAACAAATTGTTCAGAGAGATTTATTAGTTAATTTATAATCTTTATAAGATATTTAATAAATATAAATCAAACTGAGATATGACCGAAGTCCTACATCTATTATAAATCTTCAAAAGTATTTACGACGTGCACTTCCGACCGAACTACAGACCGTTGTTAAAATTTCCCCATATATCTGAAAATAATTACTCAATGATATTATATAATTGTTAGCTATCTTTGAGAAAACCGTAATGTGTTCATTTATAGCAAGATATTGAGTACTTGCATAATTTATATTATACCTCTTTAAAGCGTATGATAACTTGTTGGATAAATATTAATAGTTTCATTGATAGCAGCAAAATGTATTCGATAAAAAATTTAAGATTATGAGAAAATCTAAAAAGTTTTTTAGGAATGGGTAGCATTTCACTTTGGATACCTTCATTTATATTATAAAATTAATAGTTAAATTAAAATATATCTCTAGACACCAGCAAAAAATGTGGTGCTGATAACTCGGGCATTCGTCATTAAATTCTATTCACCAAACAAAAAATAATTCAAGGGTCTATGAAACTTTCGAAAAAAATTAAAAACCTCAAATGTAAGAGATGTATATTTGTAATAATTTCAATTAAACCCGAAATAAATACTTTATACTAACAAAGTTTCCCTCTTGAAGGGAATTGCTAGTGCTTGAATGTTAAGGGAAATTGGGTATGTGCGTAGTTCCCAGTTCCTATTGCCACCCTTTTCAGAAGTAAATCTGCAATAAATTTGCGATCAGTTAGAACGTAAGCGAAACTTAAAATTAACAGCAGTGACGCATCTATAGGAAGTTAGCACTTCGCTAGAATTTCTTGAAATATCCGAAAATAATCTCGTGTTCTTGTAATGTAAACAGGAGAAGAAAAAACGAGAATAATGAAAGACCCATTGAAAAATTGCTGTTTTGAGCCTAAATAGTCAGAACCACGTAGTTGCGGGATTCTCCAGCAGAGATCGTAGTGATACTCAACGGGTGTTCACTTCTTCCACGAGTTGAAGATTCAGTCAGGTGTAGAACATCAAGAACTTGGTAAAATGTATAATAATTCATTAAATAGTTTGTAGATGTATAGAAAGTAGCATTAAGATTCATCTCAAAAGAGGAAAACTGCTCACTTTGGTGCAAATCTTTCCTCACCCAGAAGACGTAGGAATGATATTAAGAAATGGATATAATGGAAATAAGCAATGTAAATAATCAACAATTGCGCAATTTATTATAATGCGTTGAATTTATATTTTAAAACGTATGCTGACAATATTTTCGAATCATTTACAATGAGGACACTCATACTGATATGGCTTAGCTTGAGATACAATGCTGTCCTGTAGAATCACGTCCCACAGATTCTTTCACTTGCTCTTTCCCAATGCCGTAGACTTATTGGGGTTTTATTGTCACCCAGTTGACTCCATTGTTGTTTTCAAGACGGTAGATGACAATTTTCGGTGGGCGAAGGAACTCTCAAGGCTCTAAATCTGAATACTGGGTGGGCGAAAGAATTGTTAAGAAGGCGAATTTGAATACTGAGTGGGCGAAGGAATAGTGTTGACTAGGTTCCTGCTGCATTGAGTTTGGATCGAGTTTTGAATATATTACATATTTATCGCTACAAATTGTAATCAAATAACGCTGGGGCGAGCGTTGATAGAATGAGCATGATATACTCGACGTAAGGGAAGAGAAAATTCACCAACATACACATTCCGCACAGGTATTGCAATTGCTAATTTGATACACTATCCTCAAACAATCGCTAATTTGTTAATTCGTTTGTTTATTCGCTAATTTGCCTATTTCGATCAGTAGAACATCACAAAACGTCATAAGAATAAAATATTGTACACATGTGTGACATTTCTCTTAGGTTCTTAATTTCTAGAACGTTACTTAATAGTTACTAAATAATTCACTCGTGATATTTTTTTCTGAGTAACTGTGTTTACTGACTTCACAGAACAACGCACATGTTTCGCGGATTCCTCTGTTTACACAATTGGCTCAGTATATCTGAGAAAGAATGCAGCTCTGTTTCAGGTAGACCGTAGCAGTGTCAGCTGTTTATAAATAAACTTAATAGTCGCATTTCTTCAGAATACTTCCATTAGAGACCGTATGTGTGCGTTTGAGATTTATTCCATGACATAAGTCTCACGGTTGCTTTATGTTTCACGTCACAATGCGTCGTATCATTGAGTAGACGTATCATTGTAGTTCGAGCGTAGAGTTCGGCAGGCAGCGGGCAGTCTACATGCTTCGGAGAACTAAGTATTTTTTAAATGTTATTTATGAGCGCCTCACTTTGAAATTCGGCAGATCAGATACATTTAATTAGAAATGCATCAGTATTTTTAAAATTAATTTAAGTGTCCACCTATTGTAAAAAGTTGCATTTTAAAAATTAAAATTATTTTAAAAATTTAAATAATATGTTTAGAAAAATTATTTTTACATCATATGAAAGAACATCTTTTTTAATTTAAATTTAAGTGTAATTTTATTTTTCTGAAGGAAACAATATTTGCACAAAAATTTAAACATTACCGCGCGCATTATTTTTCGGAAAAAAATAATTGGTAATATTTCTGAAAGGGATGGGATTAGAAAAAAAATACGTGTCATCTCTTCTCAACCGTGTACTTCATAAAAACGTTAGAAGTCGCTCAAATATAGTGATATTTTGTAAGTTTGCGATTTGACGTGAAATGACTCCTTTACGATAGTTCTAATGGGTTATTTCCATTTAGCATGGAAATTTAGATTACAAAATTCATGTATACATTTGGCATTTTGGTCGATTGTCCGACTTTGCCATCCAATTAACGGAATCCCCCATGCCTAGGCCTAGTTCAATTCCCACGCTTGAGGGGTAAGAGAGACATTTGACAAACCTGGCAAAACTAGTAAATACTGCCTGCCTGAGATTTGTTTCGACACAGCTACAGAAAGTGATACAATTGTGAAGGAAAGAAACATCATTTTTGCCCTGACCGGAAATCGAACCATAGGAAATTAGTAAGTTGTCCATGAGCCACCCTCAGGCTGTGACTTCAAAATTTAAAATGAATCTGTAAGAATGAAAACGATATTTTGTTGAAATACGAGCTTGCAAATGTACAAATTTTCTCTAATAAGCCGCCTGATAAATATACTGAAAGAATGTGCTTTTAAAGCAACTCTGAGAACGTTCGGGTTTTCTGGGCTGGGTTGTGGCTAAAGCCCTAAAGAACATTCGATTAGAGTTGTCTCTCACTTTAAACAAATGATTATTTAATTTTATGTCTTAATGTATTACTTTCGTGTATACTACGTTACAGAATAAAAGTACAAAACCACTACGTGTTTAAACTTACTTGCGGGGTCTTTTGATCTGGAGTCAGCAGAATGATAGGTCCTCTTCGGAAATACGTGAAAGACAAGGGACAAACACCTTTCCCAAGGCGGGACTAGAACCCGGAATCGTTCATACCGAAACGCTGAGTCGGTACACGCTCTGAGCCACCTCGGCCATTCACCTCGGCTTATTTAGAACTTGCGAGGAATAACTTTTTAGCATTTGAACCTGTCTTTAAAATAGTTTAATGCGTCGGCGTCACCACAATCAGCTAGTAAGGTTATCAATTCATTTGTGGGCGTCAACATCAGTATTGAGAAAATTACTCGAATTCAACGTATGAAAAATTTTAGATAGATCTTTGAACCTTTTTTAGGCATTCTAATATTGTTTTCGTATAGGAAGTTCATTTAAACTTCTTTTGGATGCTTCATGAGACCACAACATGCAAATAACACTTGATAATAAAAGATATAACGAATAAAGCAACGATATTTATGAACATTGATTTTCAATATATGTGTCTACTACTGACTTATAACACAAGTGTCGTAAGGTTTCGTATTACAATACTAGATTGCATGACTTGCAATCGAGGCGGTCAAATCCCGTTGGTTCGAGTTTTGTTGTAAGATGTTACTACATGAATATCATACGCTTAATAAAAAAAACAATACATTTGAATCTTCATCGCGGAAAATGTGAAACACAGGCGTTAGTAGTCAATAATAGTAAGTTTATTACACTGGTCTACAAAATTAAACTGTTTAAGCCAGAAGACCTTTATTGGCTGATCATTATAGACAATTTTACACTGAATTAAAAAAATGAAAGCCATTTGTCTTATCCATTCTAATGCCATTTTTCTCATTACATCCCAAATTCTAGCATTTGACATGAAAATGATTCATTAGTAAGAAAAAATTGGAAATATTTTAGATATTGTTTTGAAAGTAATTTGTAGTACTGTGAAATAAAATGTGAACAATCAGTATAACCCTGATTTTTATTTTCCCGTCTACACACAAATTTTCTTCTCCCAGTAGACCTTTCTTCATGCATTCAGATTCTCGTTT